GAAGTATTTTTATTTCTCCACAGCCTCACCAGCATTTATTATTGGTTGATTTCTTAATGCTAGCCATTCTTACTGGGGTGAGATGAAATCTCAGTGTTGTTTTAATTTTCATTTCTCGAATGACTAATGATGTTGAACATTTTCTCATGTATGTATTTGCCATTTGTATTTCTCTATCTGAGAAGTGTGTATTCATCTCAGCTGCCCATTTTTGAACTGGGTCTTTGAATTTGGGGGAGGCTGAAATTTTTTAATTCTTTATATGTTCTAGATAGAAGCGCTTTGTCTGAGGGACAGTCAGCTAAAATTTTTTCCCAATTTGTGGGTTTTCTTTTTACTCTGCTGAGGATTTCTTTAGATGTGCAGAAACTTTTCAGTAGGATGATATCCCAGTTGTTGATACTTTGAAGTATTTCGCATGCAGTTTGGTTTTTGTTCATGAACTCTCTGCTTATCCCTATGTCCTCATGATTTTTACCTACTTTCTCTTCCAATAGATTTAGTGCTTCTGTTTTAATATTGAGATCTGTGATCCATTTTGACTTGAGTTTGGTGCATGGTAATAGACTTGGGTGTACTTTCACACTTTGGCAGGTGGCAAGCCAATTCTCGAGAAAAAATTCAAATTTTTTTCATTAGGTTATTTGATTATACGTTGCATGCATGTTAGAAAACATTTATATTTAGTTCATTTAAATTATGGGAACCAGTGTATGTTTTGAGCCAAATGTCGGGTATTTGGTGTACTGAACTAAATAAGGGATTTTGTTTGATTTACAAGATAGTTAGGATTATCCATGGCTTCTATTTATTCAAAGCTAGTAACACACCAACCTCCATTCATGTCAATTAAAAATCTCTTCAGAATTTTCCAAATGGCTCCAAGAAGGCAAAGTCAGTGTCAACCTGGTTGAAAATTACTAATGTAAGTTTGCTTTTCATAATTTTCGTTATGAAAATTATATAGAGGGATCTTCTAGATATCCCAATTTCTGAAAATAATTTATACATGTATAAATATATATATACATATATGTATATATATGCCTTAGTATTTATGTAGGATTAATTTTTTCCACAACTGATGCAGCTACCACACTTGTGAAAGCTCCTACTCCCTCATATAAAGTGGTGTTATATTTGCATATATCTAAGACATATCCTTCTATATAATTTGAATCATCTCTAGACTTTATAATACCTAATCAAATGTAAGTCTTATGCAGATAGTTGTTATATTGTATTGCTTAGGGAACAATGAAAAGAAACAATCTCTATTTGTACAATTTTTATTTATTACTGGGTATTTTTTAACCATAAATAGTTGATACAAAGAGATGACTTCATTTAGAAAGACTGGTAAATAGAAACGAACCATTTCTTTTAGTTCCTAGTATATTAGAAGTTAATAAATATATACATAGAACTTTTACAGATTTAGTTGAACAAAAGCTAGGAATTTTGCTGCCCTCATAAATATATTCAGATTCAGACTTAAAATATATGAAATAGAAACCATAAATATTCTGATATATAGGCTAATTTATTTCATTTATACTAGTAGTTTATGTTACATTATTGAGAAGAAAGCTTTGTGTTATAATTTCTCTTTTTAATAATAATCTTCTTGGTTTATGTCTTATACTTTGAGTAACTACTTCAAAGATGATATATACTATCACAATTATATTTATCCTCTTATTTTGTTATGAAAATTTGTTTTATTTTTTCATAACATAAAACTGAGAAAAAACAAAGAATGAATAACTGCTTAGCCAAACGTTTCCTATACAGCGAAAGCTGCATAAATATATTTTAGATATGAATGCACGGCCATAGCTCTAGACCTTGAAAATACTCAAAGTCAACTGAAGAAAATAGAAAAATATCAAAAGAGAAAACAGCTTATATAAAAAAAATGAAGAAAATTTAGAGATCAAGAAACCTTCACCCAAGAGATGCTCAAAAAGAGCGATTTTGACAGCTTTGTACTTGAACAAAATGTAAAAGTCACATTGGGATTCAGATGGCATCAAGATGGTATAGATGAAAGAGAAACATCCTTGCCCTAGACTCCTGCTAAAGTGAAAGAGTATTCTGCAGAAAGTTTGGCTTATGCAGTAACATACAACTTACAGCGAGATAGCATCAGGTTGTAATCATTTCCTATCACGAACCTTAGGAAATAAATTTTCAAGTTCTCTTCTATTTTACTGCGAGAAGGAGCAGGCGGGAGTTAAAGCGAGGGAGATGCAGTAGCTATAAGTTTTACTAATAAAATTCTGAGAAGGTATTATTTATATAATTATATGAATTTTAAACTCCTGGTAGATGATTAAGAACATGACTTAAACATTTAAATAAGGATATTAAATAATTATTTCTTACAACAAATGCTCATTTAGTGCTTCAATATCCCAGAATAAAAACTTGTTGACATATTATAAGGAAATTTTTAAGAAAATTCACAGCCTTACTTGTTAAGATTTCTCTGGGTCATGTCTATCTTCAAGTATATGCATCTTCTTTACCTGGGACTGTAGGAAGATTCCTCTGCAATGAAAGTACAATGATTTACTTCAAGACAGAGAGACAAGCAGAAATGAGAGCCTAGCTCTCTGGCTTCTACAGCTTTGTTAAAGGCCAATGGGGCTTTATTTGGGTTGGTGTGTCCCAAACCCCAAGGCAATGTGGTATTGATGTCCTTAATAGAATCAAGGTTCTTAATAAACTAACTTAAGAATACTGGAATTATCTTGGATAATTGGTCTGGACCAATGTAAGGAGGCCAATTCCATTTCCCTCTGTTGTCTAATTAGGCCACTTCATACTCGTACTTCTCCCTTAAGGCTTGTGAATGGCAATAGAGTAAAGAAGAAAAGCTGTTTTAGGGAAAACTTGTCTTTAATCAAGTGATTTAGAGCTCAGAAATGAAGGAGAAGAATGTGGACACTAGGGAAAGAGTCAGGGAAAGGTCATGCCAATAGAAGAAAAAACAACTCAAAAAGTCACTGTCTTTTTATTTCTCACCATTCTAAAGTGCAAGCAGACAGTGAAGTGATAAAGAAATGAAAAAAGAAGACAGGTTAAGAAAGACCCAGAAAAAAAAACCACAGTATGAAACAACTTGGAAGTTTCTTATAGGTCACAAAATGGTAAATAATCACATAGTCTAAGTAATAGGATTTCAGTGAAGACCTTTTCAAAGACACTGTTTAAGCTTAGATCTGAAGAATAAAAAGGGCCAGAAATAGGAATGAGCGAAAATGCAAAAAAGAAAAGAAAAGAAGAGGACAATAACTAGTGCAAAAACACAAAGGGCTTACATGTCTGACTCATTTGAGGTACCATACCAGGTGAGACATCAAAATGCTGCATGGGGTAGGGAGGAACCATTTCTGTTGGGGGAGCAGCTGGTTTAGGGGCTAATGTCACAAAAGGCTTTAGAATGTTGGACTGAATGATTCTGAAAGAGAGAGAAAATGTGGAAGTTTACTAAACACAGTTGTTATTTTCTAGCATTTACCTTTTATAATGATAGCTCTGCCTAAAACTCAGGCATTTCCCCTGCATTTCTGTCCCTGGAAATCTCTTTCTGCAGATGTTTTGATAGCTTACTTCTTAACCTCCCCAGATTTCTTCAAATTCCACATTCTCAGAAACACAAGGTGTGGTTACCCATGCCTGAAACCCTGGCCCTCCAGAGGTTCCTTGTTACCACTTCTAATCATCTAATTTTACCTATATTTCTCATTTAATCCTTGTTTCTCCCATTAAGATATAAATGCCATACAGACAAGTATTTGTGTTTTTCTGTTAAGCATTATGGCCTATACACCTAGCAAATAATAGTTATATAATGCATCTGCCGAATAAAGTTTTGTAATTAGTGAATTGTGTGGAAAATTTAAATCAGTATATGCACAGGATTTGCATCAACAAATTTGTGAGAGATTTGACTGACTTGAAATCTATAGTGTTTTAAAGAGTTTAAGGACTAGTGACAGATTCAAGGTAGGGGAGGCAGAAATCGGTGGATAGGTGAAGATGAAGGATTATTGCCTGATTTCAGCTCAGGATACATTTTATGAGGAGACAGAGGAAGAGGGAATATAGAGGGAAAGGAAGAAGAAGAGGAGGAGCATGACAAGAATAAGCAGGAGAATGAGGGAGAGAAGGAAAAAGGACAAGAGATAAATGAAGAAGATATGGAGGAGAAAATGAAAGAAGAGGAGGAATTAGGATGAAAAACCCAAAATTCGGGTATTACAGTATATTAGTGAGGCTTCTTCTGCCTAAAATATGGCAAATTCATTTCTCCTTAGGGTATGACACTTTCTTAAAGATATTCTATTAACTTGTGCCTTAAAAGAATCTTCCTTTATTTTGAAAGTTGCATATATGGGAAGCCATGATCCAGTCTCTTGAATATGTATTGTTCAGGTTGATTGTAATCAGAACTGTCAACACTGAGAAAGTAATTCACTACCTCTTCTAAGTCTCACTAAAGAGAGTTTATTCTTTCAGGGGCTTCAGTATTCCACATTTCATATATAATTTCTCACCACCAGGCTTAGGGAGGGGATTCTCCACAAAAAAGTGCAATTTCTGACTAAATAACCATTTTTAGGGGGTGAAAATTTATCATGAAAATAGGGAAGCTGTCATCAGAAAAATATATAGGCTTCTGTATCCATTGCCATTTTAGACAGCAAATGTCTTTGTGAACTAGTTATAGGCATTCACTATAATGAGTTTGCTTTCTGTTTCACCCAAGTTCTAAGTCATAAAGTTTGAACAGTGCATATTTTTGTTCAGTGAAGAGAAGGTGTGTCTGGGTTTACAAGGCATAACTAATTATTGCAATTACAAAATTGTCAACCATTTCCACTCTCTTGAGCCTACTCTTACCTGTTCTTATCGTATTTCTATCACAAGTGGTACAACCGTGATTTAGCCTTAGTCTCCTCTAAGGAAATAAACTTGCAAAGAGTAATGTTAAGAAAATAGTACTGTAACAATGATGTACCTTACTTAAATGGCATACAGCTCCTCCTACAGGACAATGTAGCCAATCAACTCATTGCAAATGGCTGTCACTGATCTTTTCCTATTTGCTTTTTTCAAGAATTATAATACACTCTAAAATCAATACTTTTGCAATTATATCAAAGTTTTCCTGTTTTTTTCAAATTGTTTTTTAAAAATTAAATGAATAAAATGAAGTTAAGTATTTATTCTACCATTATTTCCTAATACTATTTTATTTGAACTTTACTTTTTACTCCTTTGTTACTGCAGGATAATGATAGGTTTCAATAAGTAAATCTTTGAGTGTCTCAACACATTCACCCCTTTCTTTTATCTTTGGTATAATTTCTTCTTTTTATTACAATCCATTTTCATCAATGCCATTTTTGTGTGAGGAATTCTTTTGCCATGGATAGTTTAATTCTGTCACTCTAATGTAACCATCATGTTTAATATCCTTCTTCAGGATTAGTCTTAGTTCAGATTTTCCTTTATTTAAACATTAAGCATTATTTTATGATCAACATTTTCATAATGGAAAAAATACCTATCTACTAAAACTATATAGATGTTTCTGGTTCAAGAACTGTTTTAATGTGGACTTACTGAGTTGTCCTCTTGCTTCACATACAGTATGAATTTGAAAGTTATTCCAGTGGATGACACAAGCTAATGTTTCTAATTTCTATCACCTTGTCCCAGTTGTTTTCCCAGAGAGTCCCTAAACTGCTCAATAGAAGTTTTCTAGCCCATGTTTTTGGATGGACAACACTTGTAGCTCTTAGCTTCATGCGTGAAGCAGAGGTTCATGTCCCCATCTGTCAAGGCATAAACATTCATCTCAGTTTCTATATGGGCTTCGTGTGTTCATATCCCGGAGAGCTGAAGCCACAAATACTGTTCTAGTATACCAGCAATCATTTGCTTTTGATTCCAATTCTTACATCATTCTTACATGTTACATCTTCTTACATCCAATTCTTACATTCCAATTCTTACAAAGCCACATATACTGTTCTAGTATACATACTAGCAATCATTTGCTTTTGATTCCAATTCTTCCATCAAATTCAATTTCTGCCTTTTGTTTTGTTTCTTGGATGTTTTTCTTTCCTTGTTCCTGAGTTCAGCTGTATGTTCAATTTCACCATTACATTCTGTGTAGTATTTTTGTGCATTTAAGTTATCGACATCATAGGAGATCTGTAGTATTTCACTCTCACTCATTTACCAGAAATCCCCAGCTGCTTTCCATTAAGTCATTATTATTCATTTAAAGTGTTAACCAGCACTTTATTACAACTCTAAGATCACCTTCAGCTATGTCTTACCACTTATGAGTCCTGTCTCAAGCTGTTCTTGCTTAGGAATGTATCTTTAGATTTTTCTGGATATACAAAACTCCTTAACTTCATAGTTTGATCATCATTTCAGTGTGGAAAAACAGAACTCAAATTTATTCCAAATTTCCTCATTTTTCATCTTTCCTGTTTCTGGATATGATATTTCCACACTACCAGACCCAGGCATAATTTTGACCATTTGGATATATGAAATGATGTTCATCAGTACAGTGTTCCTCTCACTTAGGTTCAGTCTTCTCTCATATAGTCTTAGCATAACCAGACTTCCTTTCTCAAAACAAAAATTTCAAATTTTTGCCCATTGCATGTAACTTTTCTCAGTTGTTTGAACTTACCCCCCTCTACCCACTTTCCACTAAGTCCAGCATGTTGGCCTTTACATTTCTAACTTTGAACTACATATTCTTTCTTCTCTTCTCTCTAGTGTTTCCTACATCTTTCTTGCAGTGTACATTGACACTGTATGCGAAAACATTGACAGTGATGAGATAAGGCTTATCTGCTCTGTAGCTACCTCTGTAGTATTTTTGAGAGGAAGTTTTAAATATACATCAAAAGTGTGGTCATGAATAATCATCTACAAGGAAATAAAACATTAAAAATAGGTATATTGAATTTAAAAATCCATTTTAGGGAAATTATGAGAAGAGTCCCTAATGAATAAAATGAAGAAAAGAATATGTAATGAATCTTAAGAGATAATCTACTTATTTATGTAAAGTTGAATAAAACATGTTATTTTTCATTTGCAAAAATTAGCTTCAAAAATTTTAAAAATTCGTACTAAATATCCTTTAACTAAATTTTAAATTAAATTCATTATATATATATATATATAACATACTGTTTAGTCTAATAACATATCCAGACTTAGCATATTGCTTTGGTAAAATAGAAATAATTTCAGCTCTTTCCATTCTAAATACACCATGTGTATGTTATCTTTTCTGAATTTGCGTGAAAATTTGAATGTTACTCCACTTATTTTATTGGGACGATTGTTTGCTGTTTTTGATACTGGTAAAAATAAGTAATTCCTCGGATAAAATACCCTCCTAGAAGTCTCTTAGGTACCATCAAATAACTTGCCAGTAAAAGGTACAAATTCAGAATATGTCTTTTAGTCATGTTCCATTGAATATGTTTTATATATTGCTTTAAGATCTTGTTCAGAATATAGTCAGCTTACTACCATGTGCATGTAAACTCAAATAATTATTGTTGAGAAGTAATGATTCTTCTCTTTTACCACTTTCCTTATTTTCAACATTTATTTAAATAGTTAAAGTTAGTGGACAGTAGATTTGCATGGAATCTTAATTTAAATTAGATATCTATATTTTATTTATCTAGCTCAAGAAGCATTTAACTGGCAGCTTCTCCCACATGTCACTGTAAAAGACTTAAAGAAGATGGTAGAAGGAGTAATCAATGAAAAAGACAAAAATTTCTTTCAACAAATTTACTATTAAGCATTTTGTGGAGCTTTAAAAATAATAACATTGAAATGATTCTTGCTAAGAGGAAATTAGCTGAAATTTTGTGGTACAGAGTAGAATTAATGTGTCTATTATTGCACAGAGACATTTCAGTATATACAGAGAGAATATCCATTACTTGGAAAACACTGTGTCACGTGTTTTGAATGCAATGTTTTATCAAATACTCATATAATATCCAAACATAGAAAGAAATGATGCATGAAAATTTCTCATTCACCTAGCTATCAAGCGACAACCTTTTTTATCCCTTCCGTGTGTAACCCTACTTCTAATATCTGATAAAAGTGTTAATTATTAGAACTATGATGCCAGTCCAGTTTGTCAGTGAGCTGTAACAATTACTGAAATGTGTAAATTAGATAATTCGCTTGACTTCTAGTGGACCTGATTCTACCCTCCATTAAAAAAGGAGCTTATAAACTCATGGAATTCTTATCACAATCAAACTACTTACATTTGCTAAATAGTGTACCCATAGTAAATAACTAATAAACTTTAGTCATT